CTGACTCATAGCGACCCCTCCTTGGGTTTCCGAGGCAGTATCACTACGGAAGTAGGATTGCCCAACCTTCCTTCCGAGGAGTGGCTGGTGAGTTTGAACCGCCAGTCTTCTGGTGAGCAGGCAAGTGTCTTAGCCACTATGCTACTTTGGTCTTCTAGAGAACTAGCCTAATGGCTGAAGGTAGATGGCAAATACTTGGTTAATGAAATAATACAATTACAGGGTTGTTGTTTGTTGCTTTTAATTCGTACACCAACCTAATTTCTTTACCACAGAAATAAGTGTGTTGAATATTCTGCAGTAAAAAACAAAATAGAATTTTCCAAGGCTATCTTCCTTGTAAAGACAACCCAATTTTTTTAATTCTTTATAATTCTACACACCTAAGGATAGGATGTCAGGCAAGCAAAGGTGATGCTAAAAGATCAATGTGTTCTAAATACTAATCTTCTTAACCACGGATCAATCGTCATGTCAGAGAGTACTTGTGCCTCAGGGCAGGAGGTGATTTCAGTGTTGTGATCCAAACTCAACCTACCCCCTCTTCAGTCCTCTGGTGTACCTATCTGTACAATACTGATACACTCCTGTGTTCACTTCACTCTCCCTTCTGTCCATGGCTTTTCTGCTCACCATTTGGGCTCACATTATTGCACCAGAAGGGCAGTGCTACTCTGTCCTAAAGGGTAGTTATGAGTCAGAATGGACTCCATGACAATGGGCTTTGTTTTTTTTTTTTTTTTTTTTAAGAAGAATAAAGGAGTCCAAGGGTTGTACAAATGATTAATGTGCTCAGCTGCTAACCAAAATGTTGAAGGTTCATATCTACCCAGCAGTGCCTTGGAAGAAAGGCCTGGTGATCACTTCTAAAAAATCAGACACTGAAGGCCCTATAGAGCATAGTTCTACTCTGATACTCTGACACACATGAGGTAACTGGCAACTGGGTTTTTTTGTTTGTTTGCTTGGTTTGAGAAAATAAAAACTCTCCTCAGCAAGTTGTTGTTGTTGTTGTTAAGTGCCATCGAGTCGTTTCCGACTCATAGCGACCCCATGCACAGCAGAACGAAACACTGCCCACTCCCACGCCAGCCCCACAATCCCTGCTATACTTGAGCCCATCATTGCAGTCACCGTGTCAATCCACCTCGTTGAAGGCCTCCCCCTCTTTCGTTGACCCTCCACCCTACCAAGCATGACATCCTTCTCCAGGGAATGGTCCCTTCTTACAACATGACCAAAATAGGTGAGACGAAGTCTGGCCATTCTTGCTTCCAAGGAGCATTCTGGCTGCACTTCCTCCAGGACAGATCTGTTAGTTCTTTTAGCAGTCCATGGTACTTTCAGCATTCTTCGCCAGCACCACAACTCAAAAGCATCAACTCTTCTTCGGTCTTCCTTATTCATTGTCCAGCTCTCCCATGCATATGAGGTGATTGGAAATATCATGGCTTGTGTCAGGCACACCTTAGTCCTCAAGGAGATATCCTTGCTCCTCAGCACTTGAAACAGTTCCTTCGCAGTTGACTTTCCCAATGCTACACGTCATCTAATGTCCTGACTGCTGCTTCCGTTGGCATCGATTGTAGAACCAAGCAACGTGAATTCCTTGACAACCTCAATCTTCTCTCCATTTATTGTGATGCTGCTCATTGGTCCAGTTGTGAGGATTTTTGTTTTCTTTATATTGAGACGTAATCCATACTGCAGACTGTATTCTTCAACCTTCATCAGTAGGTGCCTTAAGTCATCCTCACTTTCAGCAAGCAAAGTTGTATCGTCTGCATATCTCAGGTTGTTAATGATTCTTCCTCCAATATACCACGTTTTTCTTCATATAGTCCAGTTTCTCGGATTATTTGCTCAGCATATAGATTGAATAAGTGTGGAGAAAGAATACAACCCTGACGCACTCCCTTCTTGATTTTAAACCATGTAAGAAAGATTAAATAGCTGAAAATTCAAAAAGCCAAGGGGAGTTTTAAAAGGAAGGAATTATCATACCTCTTTAATCTTTTTACTGTAATAAGACAGGTGGGGCAACCACCCTCTACCCTTGATCAATCTGAATATTTCTTGACTCTTACCATTTGCTATCCAATTGCAAAGGAAGGGGAAAGTGTAGAATATGAGCTGGGACTAGAAAGCCTTTTACGAGAACACAGTAAGTAGACTATCAAATACTGTCTACTGTACTGGCAGTGATCCAAAAATGAATAAATTTTGCCGATGACCAAACCAGAATGGAATTGACACTTTGGAATATTGCTTCATTTCTGATGCTGGAACATGGGAAGAATCAACTCTGTGCGTTAGTCTTATTTGATCCTATACACATACACTCCACTGCCCCATTCCTCACCCCCTCATTCCCATGCTGAGTAGGCCATACTTGGTGACTACTGCTATGACCACACTTCTGTAGACATCTGCAGCTGAAACATCACAGGTCCAGCTGAAGGCTTTATTCAGTTTCTCCAAAAGGAGTTGTTCATCTAGCTTCTACCTCTACTAGTGATTAAGAGATGGCTTTGGTCAATACAAATTTAATATGCATTCAGTTCCTCCTAGGTAAGCCTGTACTGGGAGTCGCAGTAGCCCCGAGGCTCAAGATGGCTCTCTACAGGAAAATGGGATGCTCTGAACAATTCTGCTTCCTAATCTAGCCGGAACAAGGAAAAACAAGATGGACTAGCAGGATTTCTGGTTCATGACAGAGACACTAAAAAAAATTCAGGTTTCATGGCCAACAAGTTTGAGAAGGACTATATTCTGAACCTTCCTCTTTCACAATCCACATTGTCAGCCTAAAAGGTATAAGAAGTCTTGAAGTAAAGAACGCTATCATACTTCAACTCACCAAGTCCCAAATTTATTTGACTATGAACTTTATTTCCAGTAACTCCATTTAATATTGAAACATGGTTTGGAAAATGCTTGAGACTATTTTTGACAGCTATGTGGCATCAGATCCCATCACAAGACAACCCTTGTTTTCCCAGTCCAAGAATCACAGCTCAACAAAGTGTTACTTTGTGTAAGAGTTAAATTAGACAACGAAACTACTTTTTTAAAAAATAGTGTTTTGACCTTACGATAAGGAAAACATATATTTTTGAAACCAAGAGAGAAAAGCATATTTTTCAGATTGCACTTAACAATGCTCTGCAGCAGTAGTTTCTTTTATAAAAAATATTTACTATGATGGAGCCACAAACTAATTGTGTGTCTTTTTATGTGCAAAATGAAACAGAGAACAAAGCTATTACTCAAAAATTTCAAGCCAACTCAGATCATTTAAACTCTGGGTTTGAATGTGGAATTGGAGGAGGAGGTAGGAACGTTAATTTTCTGAAACGTTACAAATCTCCACTTAAACATTTTTATACACTTTAGTAACAAATTGGGCTTTTAGGAAGAAACAATCATTTAACCATGTTTGAAACCACTAAGGAATATCTAGAATACTGTATGACAAAATATGCTGAAAATTCCTCCAATACAGAAGAATTAATACACCTGCATTTGTGGGGGGACAATTTTCTATTAAAAGATCTGCATACTGTGAGTACTGTGGTTACATATGTCAAATATTCCTAAAAGTAAGTTTTCTAGACATAAGACACAACTTTTAAAACAAAAGTGATGCATTTGCTTTCTAACTTCAAGTATCTTTACTCATTGCATTAAATTATTAACAATTATCAGGGGAAATCTTGTACCATGGACTGCTCTATATTTCAAATTATCTTTTGTTTTTTTAAATTTAACACTTGAAAACTGAATGCCAACCCATGAAAAGATCTACTCAGATTTAAATTTGAATGTCATTATTTGTTTCTTAAAAAAAAAAAAAAAAAAAACCAACCATAGAAACATAAGAATGTAAAGTTTTCCTTTTGCAAAACATTACAAGTCTCACTTGGTAATATAATATGAACTAAAGTGAAAACATTTAAGGGCTTCATCCTCCTAAAATGTTGGTGGAAAAGGTAACTGTTAATGAACTTATTTAATACATTGGTGTTAGATTTAACTTTCTCTTCACTCATTCCATTTCAGTTTAGTGGTCAAAAATGATCATGTTTTCAAGTAGCTCTATGGCAGTGCCTTACCAGTGTAGATGCTGGCATTGGAAGCAGGGATACCAAACTGTGACTCGATGAACTTGGGAATGAAGGTAATGAAAGCAGTTACAATGGCACTCTCAGCTGTGTATGACAAACTCACAAAAAGGAATGTCATGTTGCTTAAGATCCTGACAGCTGCTCTTGGTAGGTCTACAAAATGACAAAAATGACAAATGAATGTTAAAACAATGGATGGAAAATAAAATAAAATTGAATTGTTTTTGAAATGAACTGGAAATAGCCATTCAGCAATATTTGCCACGAGAGACTAAAATCAGAAAAAAATCTGCAGACTGACTAGAAACAATTCCCTTTATTAAATAGAGTTTGGTTTTTAATTTTCAACTAGAATAAGGAAACCAAAGTATCGAAAAATATACCTATACACAAATATTTTTAGAAGCAGCACTCTATCTATGAGTCCTATTTCAAATACTGCTTCAAGTAATTACTGCATTTAATCATTGATTAAAACAATGTTATTCTCCATTAAACCCCCAAAGCTTACTATATGCATAAAGTCCCTTTAGTACAATCCTACATTAGTTTCCATTTCACCCAACTACCACTTTCCAGGGAAAAATGAACTCTGAGTTCAAATGTCCCCAGGCCAGCACAGAGTGTGTCCACAGCAGGGGAAGTGGTACATTATGTTAGGCACCTGATTTTCCAGGCTCATATTGTTGTTGTTAGGTGCTGTGGACTTGGCTCCAACTCACAGTGACTCTATGTACAACAGAACAAAACATTGCCTGATCCAACAATAAACAGCAACAACATAGGAGCATAAGGGGCAAGGCCAGCCAGGTCAGATACTCCCCAGGTAATTTGGGCTGAAGATCAAAGAGAACAGATATCCCAAGGGTAAGGAGAGTCACCGTGGTGGGGCCCAGATCAACACCTGCCAGGCTACCTCTAAGAAAGGAAGAATTGGGATTTCAGTTAAAAGTCTCATACTTGAGTCTAGGGATCTATTTCACACAGCTTGCCATAGGTATGTTTCAAGATATAAGAGTAAGTATTTTTATTGGAGCACTGTAATAGCAAAACTTTGGAAAAATCTGATACTGGTGGTCATATGCCTACATGACTATAGTACAGTGATCAAATTGAGGAAATTCACACTGATCCAGTGGTATATGTACACCATGGGGCCTATTCAATGTTTACCAAGTATTCCAGTAATACCCTTTGTGGGTCTAAAATCTAGTCCAGGACCACATGTTTCATTTAGTTGTCAAGTCTTTTTGTCTCCCTAGGCAGTGCAAACAGTTTGTCCTTAGTTACTAACTTAAAGGTTGGTGGGTCAAACTTACCCAACAATACCACGGGAGAAAGGCCTGGCAAGTTGATTCCATTAAGGTTACTGCCAAGAAAACCCTATGAAGCAACCTACTCTATAACACATGGGGTTGCCATGAATCAGATTCAACTCAACGGCAACAGTTTGGTTGGTTGGTTTATTTATTTATTTTTTTTTTAAGAGCATCATGTCTGTGACTTCTCAAATGGGCCAGAAATGTTAATACAGGGATCAGGCTGAAGATACACAGTAGTTTTGTGTGCCATTTCTGAAGCTTTTATGCAAATTCAAAACAATTTAAAAAACACAAAATTGAAAAAAGTGTAAGTAACCAAAAAAACAAAAACAAAACAAACCAGTTGCCACACAGTTGACTTCAACTCATGGAGACCCCAGGTGCGTCAAAGCAGAACTGTGCTCCACGGGGTTTCAGTGGCCGATTTTTCAGAAACAGATCACCAGGCCTTTCTTCCAAGATGCTTCTAGGTGCATTCAAATTGCCAATCTTTCAATGAGTAGCCAAGTGCTAAACCATTTGCACTACCCAGGGATGAGTGCTAAGTCCATAATTTGCAACCAAATACTAATTTTTATGCAGAGGAATATATTTTAGATAAGTTTCTTGGTGTTATTTATAACTGTGTCTTTGTAAAATCAAAGATGCTATAAAAAGCATGATGAGGGATGATGAAATAATGATAGTGATTATCATTTATTTTATAATTTAGTGCTAAGAAATACACAAATTCAATTATAAGGTCAAACTGATACTAAAATCAAGAAATGCCTTAATAGTCATAAAACTCAATATCAAGCATCAAAATTCAAGAAAATGTAATGTAAAATGGATTATACTTAGAAGTCATTCTTAAAAGAGGTATTAGTATCATTGGCAGATCACTAGCTCCTTCTCAGATACCCATCACAATTAAAATGCCACCAGGAAAAGAAGGAAGAAATATATAGTATCTCATTTATCCAGTCCATTTGAGAAAGAGGTATTTTATATACCTGAATTCTTTCAAATAAATAAGAGACTGCTTATTTAAGCAACAAGACTTTTAATACTTTTTATGGCCTAACTGGTATTCCTAGAGAAATCATAGCATAATGGGACATTTTCTTCAAGTTTCAAGATAATAATTAATTATGACTGAAATTTAAAAAAAAAAAAAAAAAAAAAAAAACCTCACTGCCAACTGATTCCAACACATAGTGACCCTCACTGGGTTTCCAAGGCTGTAATTCTTTACAGAAGCAGAATGCCTCATCTGTCTTCCGTGGAATGGCTGGGTTCAAACCACTGACCTGGTTAGCAGCCAAATGCCTTAACTACTATACCAGAGCTCCTTGTAAAAATTTCTATATGTTAATTAGCTGTAGCATATTATTTAACCTTCCATTTATTTTCTGATTTTTTTCAGATTGCAAGAAAATTATTTCCCCACTATGTGTTGTCTAGGAGCCCTGGTGACACAGTGGTTAAATTGCTCAGACGCTAATCAAAAGATCTAACCTACTAGCCGTTCAGCTAAGAGAAAGATAAGGCAGTCTGCTTCTGTAGTGATTTACAGCCTTGGAAACCCTATGAGGCAATTCTACTCTGTCCCATAAGGTTGCTATGAGTCAGAGTTGTATTCATGGCAGTGGGTTTATGTGTTGTGTGTATGTTTGTTTTTACCTGGTGACATTCTGTTTCCACACCATCTTTTTTCTAAAAGTAGACATTAAGTTTCCAGTTTTGTTCTTTTGACTTTTTTTATATTTAAAATGAGAGTAGAATGAATAGTAGTGTTTGTTTTATTATGATACAAAATAGACCAATTAATATTATGAAGCAAATGACTAAATTTAATTATGTGGAAACTCACATTTATACTTCAAATAAATTCTAACCATTAAGTACCAAGAGAATATACTGACCTCTCTTAATATTTTTCATAATTTTTGATATCAATATTTCAAATATAGTATCTCTTTTGGTGAAAAAGCATTCCGAAGTTTGGCAGTACATTCAGCTTATTTTCCTATTTAAATTTGTGTAAATTAAGTGATTTTTATTATAAAAATTGTTAAATGTTTATATTTGGCAATGGGATTAGAAATGGCTTTTATTTTCCTCTTATATTTTTATGTACTTTCTACACTTACTTTCATGAATATGATTATACCTAACTTTTCTTAAAAAAAAAAAAAAAAAAAGCCTGAAATTTTAAATGGATGTAACAAACATATCATGCCCTAACAGAAGTTTTATCCGACTTGCTGCTGACTTAGGAACTAGCTACTTCTCTTCCTTGTTCTTCCTTAGAATGTTGTCGTTGTTAGCTGTCATTGATTCGGTTTCAAGTCATAGCGACCCTAAGCACAACAGAACGAAACTCTGCCCAGTCCTGTGCCACACTCACAATCTTTGCAATGCTTGAGCCCATCGTTGCAGCCACTGTGTCAATCCATCTCGATGAGAGTCTTCTCCTTTATTGCTTACACGCTCCTTTACCAAGCATGATATTCTTCTCAAGGGACTGGTCCCCTCTGATGACGTGACCAAAGTCCGAGAGATGAAGTCTAGCCATTCTTGCTTCTAAAGAAGCATTCCAGCGGCTCTTCCTCCAACACAGAATTCCTTAGAATGTACATAGCTCCATTGCAAGATTTACATTGTGTGTACTTTCCTTTCTGCCTTCCCTTGTAACTTTTCATTTATTGTATCCAGATTCCTAGTTCTGTACAAGATGCTCAGTAAAAGTATTTGTCAAAGAGAGAGAAAAGGAAAGAAAGATAGCCTCTTAAGATACATATTGCCAGCCATCTATTTCAATAATTAGAATGATATTTGAGAACCAATCTAATCCTTTCCTAAAATTCTTAGGTACTGCCAATTTCTTATATGAAATTGGAATTTGAGGGAAGTGTCGGTTCAACAAGCAGATAAAAGTGGCTTAAATGTATTAAAGTCAAGCTGTCTCAGCTTTTAACAAAGCATAGAATTCATACCAGGGGTAAAGAAATCAAGAATAAAAATGGAAAAAAACAGAGTGGAGGGCCATTGTTATATAAAAGGTTGTGATTTTTATTGATAAGTTATAAAACCAAGTGGTACATGAAAAACGCAGGGGGCTTTTTTCAAAGCACACGGCAGAACCCAAGGCTTCCTCCTTGAAAGGCCAGGAAAGGGCCTCCAGAAGTTGGGGGAAGGGAAGGTTGAGTAAAGAACAGGAGAGGGAACATTATAGGGTAATGATCATATGACATGATGTGACTGAATGAGACAACGTGAGGGTATGCTCTAGCTATACCATATGTGCTTTTTTTAACCTCTCCATGGTCGCTATGAGTCGGAGACTACTCGATGGCACATAACAACAACAACATGCTAGTTCCCTGCTTTTGTAAATACTTAAAGTATTTTATTTTTGCTGTATTTCTAATCTTTTCATTTACACATTTCATATTTTTAAGTTCTCTGTCAGAAGGGAGCTCTGGTAGCGTAATGCCTAAAGCATTTGATTGCTAACCAGAAGGCTGGTGGTTCAAACCCATCAGCCACTCCTCGGAAGGAAGGTTGGGCAATCCTACTTTCAATACAGCCTTGGAAACCCAAGGAGAGGTCACTATGAGTCGGATCCGACTCAATGGCAATGAATAATTGAGTCAAATCAAAAAGCTGGTGGAAACAGACAATCATCATGCAGTGAAAATTTTAGTAACTTCTTTTATGGCCTCTAAGTTTTGTATGCTTATGGGCATATTACAGATACAACTTTTTGATGCTTGTTACCCAAGAGCTTAATAGGATTTGGTTCATTAGTCAAGTCTTTCTACAAAAGCAAAATTAAAGTTGCTC